ATCCTGCCCCGAAGGTTTCAGAATCCTTAACTAGTATTGTAAAGTTGAAGGAGTTCGACTTTGATGAGTCTCCAAATCAACCATCTATCCCTTCAATTCCACTTGGTGCTGCTGCTCAAAATGCAAACTTGCCACTTAGACGTCTAGCAGGCACTTCCAGGCATCCGCCTCGTCAACCGCGTGTAGCTAGTATGGATAAAATATTAAATGACTTTTTCAAAACGCGCAAAGAGCCTTCTTCCCCTGCAGTTGTGACTGAAATATCCACTTCATCTATTGCTCCAAGTACTGTACATTGTATTCCATCGTCTGAAATTTCTCATGTAACTAATATTTCCACAGAGACAAACAACAGCAGTAATAATAACTCCGAACAGGATAAACAAGAAGCCCTTGTTGCTGAACTAGCTAAAACTTCAGTGTCACCACAAGTTTATAATCATCCAGATAATATACCCTCAGATTTCACACCACACGACAATTCTAATGTACGAATTACCTCAATTGATCAGGAGATTTCTGCTTCTGTTGTAAGCATTTGTGATGAAGGAATAATGGAACGTCATAAATTAGAAGGTACAGACCTATATATTAATAACACTAATTCTTCTGATTACTCTGCCATGAATGTTTCAGACATTCCATTCACCTCTATTACTGTAAATAATATGTCCCAAAGTGAGAACGAGGCACCACATTAGGGTTACCTAATAGGTGTGGTGTAAATTTCAGTTAATAGAATATATTTCCAAACTCTGCTAACTAAATAATCGCATTTTTGTGAGATATTTATTCAGCGAAAATAAAAATGCATAACTGTACATAGAATTCCTGTACACTGGGTACATTTTATGTGGTTGTTTTTCTGTTATTTAAATAAATAATCGACAGGTATTCACATTTATTTCTTATTGTCATCATTTGGCACCACAAAAGAATCCGAGATCGTTTGAAATACTTCTATAGTCTAATAAGTTTGAACTGACACATCAAAATTGATTTCACCAGCAATGACTTTGACAGTAGGGATTTAAGTGGTTAAGTTTTGTAAGGGTGTGAGGTTTTGGTTGGGAAATTTTTGGTATTGATATCGAAAGCTCAGTTAACATCGCCGTAATTGCGTAATCTGTGGCATACATATACTCTTTATGAAACAAGCATGAAGCTTCCTAGATTTTCATACTTTATTGGGTGGGAGTATTGGAAAGCAGTGTGATAAGACTCGCTTGTTTTGAAAGTATGATTCACATATAATACATGAGTTGGCTGACTTAAAGGTGTAGCTAGAAAAGATAATCAGCAGTTGGATTTGCGACCTAGCAACACTTGAGGATACTAGAGCAACAATAATAATAAATTGTACTTGATAAGGACTACCGATATATCTTTAATATCCCAATATGCTATTTCTTTAGTGTTGTTTTTCGAAACTTTCACTTTTTCTGAACAACATTGGTACAAATCATCCTCTTGAGTCGCAAGTATTCTCTATCATCTCGAAGTACTACATCTTAGTCTTAACGAATATGTAACGGGTAAACCGTTCATTCGATTTGTGTGAGGTCTGGGACTAATAAATTAATCATGATAACACATTGCTAAGAACGTCTAGGTGGTACTCATCACCATTTGACATCAATTAGAGTAGGATTCAAAACCAGAAACCAATAGACAGCTGTTTTGCAGTAGTGTGAGACCATTTAAGAATACCAACTGACGACCCTACCAGGGTTCAAACCCAGAATAGAAGAGTCCTGTATTGTTCGGTCAGTCAGTCAGCTACAACGTAGGACCAGGCACATATATGCATCAGTCCAAGTTGCCACACAACAAGATGAACACCGGATTCATAAAAGTAGCTAACTCAGCGGTCAGATTGTGTATGAGGATATAGTACAGGAAGACAGAATTAGTTTGTAGAAAGAAAGATATGAAGCAATTTTAATCTCACAGTTTAAGGGAAGACAAAAACCGTATACACCGACACCATTGTGATCGATTCTGAGCCATGTCACCAAGAGTCTCCAACCATTGGTTACGATAGTCACGCGGACCCCAACCAAGTAGTCTGCATCTACCAACATGGCTCAGACTAGAAGTTTGTGACTTCAAGCACTGATACCACGTTTTAATTTGGCCGCCCCTAACTTTCTTCCAACCATTTCCAATACCGGATAGCATTGCACGTCGTGGTAATCGGTGTTCGGGCATACGTAACACGTGGCCTAACCATCTCAGTCGAAGAAGATTCACAACCTCATCAACTGATTTACCATCATTCCCTAATACCTTGTGTCTAACCTCACTATTACATACCCGGTGATCCCAGCAATATTTCTAAGGCATCTGTGGTCAAATACTAATAGCTTACGAGTGTCTTCTACTCTTAATGGCCATGTTTCGCTGCCGTAAATTAAAACAGAACGGACTGCCTCGCAGTATACTCGTCCTTTTATTGATAGATGGATATCTCACCTCCGCAATAGGTGACGTAAGTTGGCAAAAGCCAAACGAGCTTTTCGAATCCGTGCTGAGATTTCGTCAGACACTAACCCATTAGGGCTGACCAGACTTCCAAGATAAGTGAAGTTGTCGACGCGTTCGACTATCTCACTCCCTATCCTTAGTTCAGGTGTTGATGCAGACCAGTCCTGAAGCAAAAACTTGCATTTAGAGGGAGAGAAGCGCATTCCAAACATTCTGGCATTGTTGCTCAGTGCTACCAAAAGACTCTGCATTTTATCAGTATCTTCACCAAACATGACTATGTCATCTGCGTATTCTAAGTCGATAAGTGGACATCCTGGATGGATATCAGTACCCGAGAATTCAGTCGACGAGAATGTTATTTCCACCAATAGGTCTATGATGAAGTTAAACAAAAATGGAGAAAGTGGACAGCCTTGACGGACACCACTTGAGGTTGCAAAAGCAGATGACAGTTCGCCATAAGCTCCCACTCGACTGGTAATGTTTGAGTAAAGAGCCTTCACAAGGTTTATATACTTCTGAGGTACGCCTTTCAATGACAGACACTGCCACAGAATCTCGCGGTCTACAGAGTCAAATGCTGCTTTTAAGTCAAGAAAGGCCACCATTGTCGGACACCGATAAGTATGCCTGTGTTCTAGAACCTGACGAATGGTGAATATGTGGTCGATGCAGCCACGACCAGGTCTGAAGCCAGCTTGATTCTCTCGTGTTTGCAGTTCACGAGTCTTAGTTAAGCGTCTGATAACTATCGAGGCTAGAATTTTAGATACTATATTAGTTAAACTAATCCCTCTATGGTTGTCACAGTATGATTTTAACCCTCTCTTATATATTGGGACGATAAGTGATTGTGACCAGTCAGATGGAATGACCTCTAACTCCCAGATCTTAGCTAAAATATTGGTCAACCTAATATTTATTTATTTCAACACATAGATATTTGTACAAAGAGGCCGTTTAGCCGAACAGCACATAGACGACTGATGACGGGGATCCACTCTAGCAGTGCTTGTTCGGCCCTCATGCTTATTGCTATGCCTACACCTGCTAGTCCACGAGAACTGGCCATCGGGTCACCAGATACACGGAGGGTGTATCTTGTCGGCTCTCTGTTCTGCCGAGGTGAGGTCAAGTGAATGACCACACTATGATCCTGTATGCGTGTTTCAGAGACACAGCATACATCAATGGTACGAGATTCTAGGGTTTTACCCAAGTAAGCCTGCTGACCGATTTGACATAGGGTGCGTACATTGAAGACTCCAATGTGTAGTTTGTAGCGATGTTTCAGTAGACCTGGGACAGTGTTTTGCGCATTAGAATCGTTGGCTATGGTGACATTTGAGGAGGAAGCCGAAAAAGGAAGTTTAGAGGTGAAAGTCGATGTAAGAGCAATAACAGGAAGTGAAGACGGAGGTTGATTATGAATATAGCGGTCTTGAGTGCTGTTAGAGGTGTCAGGGTGATTATCACTTCCCGGTTGCCCACACCGTGGAAGGGTTGTCCTGGAGGTACCTGAAAAGGAAATTGGATTAGAGGTGGTCTTAGTGACCTGAGAGCGTGACCGCAGTGCCCAAGGGACAACTGCTTGAGGTTGGTCACGCACGATCTTTTTATGAGTAATTTTTGTGTTAGCTCTGCACTTGTCGAGACATTACCGCCGTACACGGATATCCATGGGATAAAGCGAGATGTGGATTTTTAGGCTCGACCTTTTCTAACCCCACCCCTCCTTTTGGGAAGGCAGCATCGCTGTCATGCTGGTTGTCTGAAGGAAACACCTATGCATAAGCGTGAATTTATAGGTATTTGTCATAATGAAAAAAGTTACCAACTATTGTATGGTGTAACTACCGCTATGATCTATAAATTCACATATATTCATACCGATATACCTCGATAATCATAATATTAGTAATGATAAAAGTCAGTAATTATGTAATGACAAGCAAACACAATGATCTTGACAATAATCTATCAGTGTTCTCACAGATGAGTCAAGCATAAAAGTATAGTAAAACAAATTATTATAATTAATTGTTATTGATGATAGAAGAAATGAATAAAACAATCTTGAAAACAATAATAAAACAATAAAAATACCGTTCTGTTTTTATAAAACTGTTTTTCTTCTTCTTCATGTAATATTCTAAGTAAAAGTTTACTTACAATATTTTAATAATTGAACCTTTGAAATCCATCTGAGAATTAAATTTGTTGCATGACTTTATTATTGAGTATTGAATTGTTCCATTGATAATATGTCTGCTGCCTTCCATAACTAAAACATTTTTTTCAATATTCAACAAACATAATTCATTCAAACGACCACGATTGATTAGTAGCTCTCACTGCATGGGTTACCACTTTTAATTAGTTTAATAAATATTGAAAATAGAAATATATGGAATGTTATTTTTGCCTATTTAAACAAAATTTCAATGTTGATTTTCTCTTTCAAATTGAATTTTTATTTCAAATGTTACTATTATTATTATTATCATCATTTAAAATGGATAAATATTTTGTTGTGCACGCTTACGCTGTAAGCTTTTCGTAGATTTCTTTTGATGACGATCATTTTGACGATTCATCATTACATCTGCTGGTTTTGTTAATGACGGTAGAAATGGTTTTAATCCAATTGAATAAGCTTGTGTAACTTTTCTTAAATTTAAATCATGTAATTGTTGATAATGATCATTTGAGGTTTTTGAATCAAACGATTTAGTTTGCAGATTATTAATGGATGCTTCCAATGATGTAGTTGAGTGATTATTGTATCCTGTGGCACTTTTTATTGGACGAGTTGTTTTTAATTCGCTATTGAATCTATTACGTTTAATTAGAAAAGTTTTGAAGGAAGAAACACTTATTCACTGAATGATTAGTATACGGAAACAGAAACAAAATTTACTCATAATATTGTGAAGAATATTAACAAAGGGATATGTTGTGGTAGAATGAATGTTGAAGAAAGTGTAACTTTTGGGATTAATCTACGACTAGTTATTATTTTTATTGTGTAATTAGTAGATAACTGTGTTTTTATATTCTCTTTATTATAAGCTTCCAATGGACTCATTAAGTGTTGCTGTATATTCTAGTATTCCTTAATTGTGGATAACTAATCAGTCACCTTCCCGTTTCATTCTCTTTTACTTTTGGAGTAGCCATGCCGATATTGTAATTTTATATTCATGTTGATGTCAGTTCAAGAAACTGATCAATATTACTGTACGAGTTGAATCACACGAGGTACATACATAACTGCTTCATGTGTTCTATTACCGGACTACTGGCTGGACTAGAAAAAGAGCATACGTTCTGAACTAATAGTAGTTAGGATTATTCTTGGATTCAAATTCAATTTTAACCTTTCCATTAGAAGCACATAGATGGGCCGAAACTTGAGACGCTAGGGGATAATGAAAACAGTATGTAGGACTTATTGATGAATTGCTTCTTTAAATATCGACCAACTTGTCGTTCAAAACAGCAAGAAATGTAATAAAAGTGTGTGGAGAAACTCCAAGAATGCCAGAGAATTCCTAGAAGCATGACATTCAATCGATTAGTAATCCAAAAACATACACTTAATCCATGAATCATACGGAATAGGTCAATCAATCGCAATACCAAAGGTCAGTCGACAAAGAATCAAGGCAAAAGACATATGAAGACAGAACCACAAACGAGGCTATAGGAACAAATTGATAAGACATGTATATTATAACTGGCAAAACCACTTCTATGTGAAAACAGTGCTCCAGATGTTGTCCTGAATAGTAATGAAAGCTCTGAAATCAAACTACCTAGCTCGGCGAACACAACGCAACCAAAAAGAGTCACTTAATATCTCCGAATACTGATTTCTAATATCATATGTTTATCTCCCTAAACACTGTAGATTGATAATCGCTGATCTTATGCATTAATCATCATACAACCAGTACAAACAATAATGTTACATAAACGTTAGCGATTCTTAACTATACATAAAGCACGCTTTAGCAATTTCATTTGGTTCTAATAAGAAAATACTATCATTTCAATAATACTGATGATTCAATACTTCATAAGCTATTTACATTGTTTCCCCTTAAAAATGGATTATAGCGAATGGTTAACCTTAGTCCAAATATATTTGAAGAACTCTCTAAAGTTAGTAGTCTTTGGGAAACTTTTTGTCTGTTGGCATATGTCCATTCATTGCATATTGTCCCTATACTGCCATTTAGTCACAAGTTTTAATTCGAGTTAGATAGTAACTAGTATACGTTTCTTTCTATGTAACACAGATGTACTTGCATCCTTGTGAGAAAAATTAACTTACCAACTGTTGATATATCTTTTTCCATTCATAAATTTTATTTAGTTAACTTGGCACCTCTTACTCAAAGTTTTTTCTTACTACAAATGGCCTGGTTATATGAGCTACCATATGTGATTTCCAATATATTGTGGCGTTTTGATATTGTAACTAGGTTTTTGAGTCATGAAAATCGAAGGTAATTTGGCTTGGTGTTCTCATCAGATATGAGAAATAAGAAAAGCCGCATAGAAAAACAGACCTTAGAATTTTCCAGTAGTTATATGGTCGTTTACGTTATTGATTAACGTGAACGTCATTGATCTGACTGGGATAAGTTGAACTAATCATTAGTGAATTCTATAATCTAATGATCTTATGTAGTGAGCTTATAAATTGTTGAATTCATGGTAGTAATGATGTGACCGTTCACTTAGATATACATTAAATTTCCTTAAAAAATCGTTTTACTTATAAGTAGTGTGAAAAAAATAGATACTATTATCGATTTTAGCTAGTTGTGAATTAATTCACTATTCTAGATACACAAATGAAAACAAATGTTGATACTTAGTTAGAGGTACATGAAAATAAATCTCTTGATTTGAATGAATTATCAGTAGTTGTTTTTTTTAAGGAAAACGACCACATTACACTAAGAACAAACCAGCTTCCAGCTGAAGAAGAAATTAGGAAAAGACGATAGAAATGGATAGGACATACATTACGCAAATCATCAAACTACATCACAAGGCAAGCCCTAACTTGGAATCCTGAAGGAAAGCGGAAAAGAGGAAGGCCAAAGAACACATTACGTTGGAAAATAGAAGCTGATATGAAAAGGATCAATAGGAACTGGAAAGAGATGGAAAAGATTGCCCAAGACAGGGTTATATGGAGAATGCTGGTGAGCAGCCTATGCTCCTTCACGAGGAGTAACAGGCGTACTACTACTAATAAGCTATTATATTTGATAGTTGAAACAACAGTTCATCAGTTTATTTTAAGAATTTCGATCTGTTTAAACAAAGAAAAAGAAAGAGCCCTTTCTTTTTTTATTATTTTTACACTCAATATGTCATTAAACTTATCACATTTTTTAACTGACATGTTATTTTTTTTCTCTGAACATTTTTTTTCAAAACTACCTTCGTTACAAACTATTCAATCAAAAACAAAAAAAAAGATCAAATAGATTAAAGAAATGTTTTATTTATTCTTAATGTATCTATGTATATGCATATGAGTTTTTAAGTATGTTAGTGAATAAAGTTTTAGTTGAATAGTATAAACAATTAAAATAGAAGAATTTTAACATTTATAAAGAACTACATTCTTTTACTTTTAAATTATCATTATTAATATCAATTAATCAAAGAGTTAATAAGATTTAAAATGAAGATGAGAAAAAAAAAGAAGAAGAAAAGATATTGGAATATTTTTATTCAAAGACATTTTACTTTACTTAATACTTAATGATGATGGTTGGTGACAAACATTAGGGAGATATACTCTCATATAGATTGCAAAGTGTGTTAATCAAAACAAAAAAAAAATCAAGTGTAATAACAAACTCTCACACATAATAAATAACATATTCGTTCAATGAAATAGTGTTTATTTAAAATGAATAACTTAGTGAATAATTTGTAGGTATTTGAAGTGATAGATATAAAGGTATTGAGTATACTTGTGAGAAAATGAATCTTTAGTACAAAGAAACATGTGCTTTGAATTCCACTGTTAAACACAATCTGTAAATTTTAGGTAGTTGAAGGTACCCAGTAAGAAGTCCTATTAAGGTCTAGATTTCATGCTAGTTGGCACACATCAGTAGGATTTACCTGAAACTTTAAGGAAACTGATGCTCTTTTTAGGATTCAAGTCCACGTTACCCAACTTCACAGGCTCATAAGTTACCACTGAAATACTCGGGTACCGACTGACCTTCTGTAGTATTGAAATATTTATAATGGATTGATCACTAAGTAGTGACCAATGTCATGCTTTTCTGGTTCTATAGTGCTGATTGACTTCTATCGATTGAGTTTCAATATGGCTACTTACCTAGGTAACTCGACACCACATGTACTATGTTCTGATGTTAAATGATAGTATATGATCAACAGAAAACCGTGAAATACAATTAATGAGGAAAAAATGCTACGCAATTAAGATAGAATTCCCGAAATCTATTCTATATACACTCTGGCATCAGGATAAAAGTCATCTGATTGTAATGATAAAATAAAGCTTATTTACGAGGTTTATATAAACCCATTTTCTATCAAAACATGCAACACAGACTGATATGGTCAGAAAAGTACTAAGGCTAACAGCTTAACAATAGTACGACAGAAATCTAGTAATTTATTGATCGTTATTCCGGATAATTTCATTAGCACCGACTGACTGAAAAAAAGGGTAAACTCTCACAATCTGGAATTTAAAGGTGACCAAACTTCTAATATAATTAAAAATCGGTTAACTGCAGCGGTAAAATGAACGTTTTATGCAGCAAAGCCACGACTACCGTTCATTGGTAGAAACTGGTCTTCTGTATCCGTAACGGATAAGCCTCCTCGTCTGACCGCCTTTATGTACATCTACCAGTTCACCTGCTCTTGTGGAGCAAGTTACATAGACAGTAGCCAGTCCTTTCATTTAACTTGAATAAGAGAACACGTCTCAGTGTGGTTTTATGAGGGTGTGAGGAAAGCAGTTGGAAGGTTCATTTTAAACACCTAATCGACTCTAATCACTCCACTGATCCACAGGTTGGTTTTAAGGTCGTTCATACAATTCTTACAAACCTACCTAGATTTCTTCGTACTCAACTCCTTAAAACAACAAAAGCTCTTACCATCCATGAATTAAAGCCAGAACTGTACGTACAAAAAGAAATAATTCTTATCTTGGCCTTAAACTGGAGAGTCTTAACAAATACGCCACAATCAACAAACTTAGAAAGTTCTCAATTTTACGAGAAAAAAAACCAAACTATAAATTCTACTTTTACAGTGAATAGTAAAATGTTAATAGTGTGTACTATTTTAATTCTCTAAAACCATCATCTGATAAACTAAATTATGAAATAGTTGATACTATCTCTTATGTAATATGATATTTTAGTAGAAAATTTACTTAATAAGTCACATGATATTATTTTTGTTTTGTTTCAAAGAAATCACTGTCATCTTATTTACATTCAATCATCATCCCTATATTTGAGTGTTCAATAAATGATTTTGTTTTTAATACACATATGAAAAGAGAATATTATAGAATAATCTAGTCCTTTTTTTCTTAAATTATTAGTTTACTACTCAATAATACTTTTTTCATTTTTACGCTCATTTTTTTATGATGATTAGTTTTATTTTTTGTAAAATGAGTTGAGTTGAAGAATAGTAACGAGCTTGTTGTTATACCGAGAAAAATGTTAATTTGTAAGGTGATTATTAAACCATGGGGGTTCTAATCTATTTAAATTGTTTATGAATAAGCTTACATTGTTTGAATTATTCTGTCAATCTGTATAATAATAAAAGATATGAAATATTAATTTTCTAACTCAGTGGTTTGAAATTTAAACTATTGTCACAAGGCTTGAAAGTTTTATTTTTAACGTCTATATTGGAGATCATAGCAACGTACTACTGAGACATGTTGGGAAAAAGTAAAACAACCGGCTAGTATTCCTTAGTTTTTTTTAATGGCTTTGAGCATCCAATATCACTTGTAAGTGAGAATTACCTTGCAGTTGTTTTTTACTAACTACACAAACGAAATCGAGCGAACATGTTTAGTGAGTTAATTGTAACATGTACAGTAACCATTATTATTGAAGGTAAATGCATGATGAGATTTCATGAGTGATTTATAAATCTAATCTTTAAATAGTCTCCTAAGTATGGTGAGACAGAATGATGAATAGTTTCAATATTAACTGTTTCGGGATTTCGCATAGGGAAAATAGGAAAAATTTCTGTCAGTTAAGATATCATAATTACTTGTTTTTAGTCATTCCAGTCATCCTTTACACACTGATCACAAAAACTTTCAAGTTTCTAAAAACAAAAAATGGTATCAGAAATATAAAGTAATGGGGAGTCAGCCTGGATTGCATGAGTTGAACCCGATATTGGGCTGTACTCTGGTGATAAATTTCAAACTAGAACGAAGTAGTTAGTCCTAAACACATACATCACTTCAAATTGTCACACCGTTTCAACGCAAAAAGATGAAATTATCAAGACATGTGTCGGAGTAGTAAAAGTAGTAACAACACCAGTAGTAGTATTAGAAAAAATTGACATAGACAAGATAATTCGAGGAGAAAGAATTAATTTATAGAATAAAAAGTTTAAGATTTTAAGACTACAGATTTCAGGGAAAACAAATGGTGAATGCAACTGCGCTATTGTGGTCAATTCTGAGCCGTGTTAGAAGTCTTCAATCGTTAATCCTGATAACCGTACAGACTACAACCAAGTAGTTTAGCATCCAACGGTCAATGACTCCATGGAATGATGTCATATCTTGGTTTGACCGCTCTCTAACTTGCAAACACTGCACAACTAAGTAGGGCGTGAAAAGGTCTCAGATTTTGTTTTTAATTATTTTTCAGACGACTTTGGCCTATGGTCGTGCAGTAATAGAATGGTTAAAAATAACATACATTTTAAAAGTACAACGCTTTACGCTCTCTGCATGTAATACAATAATTGCAGCAATTACGATTGAAGAGTGACAACTGTATATTAAGATAGTGAAACACAAGCAGTTGTGTATATGGTAATTAATTGGCTATCATATCTTTTAAATACGCACTGAAATATTTGTTAATCAGAAAATATAACCGAAAACTAACATATTTCACATATAAAACAACTATAGACAAATTACATTAGAGCTATCGGCAGAGATGTAAATGTCTAGAGAGCGGAAAAGAGAAAGATGAATGAAAAGATAGATTATCGAAACAGATGTAATTAACTTAGCTTATTTGCCAAGACCAAGTTCATGTAAAGGGTTTTCAGCTACGATTTATGTACATAAAAATATATAAAACAACTCGATCACGCAAACCAGCGACAGTCATTTATACGCAGCGTAGGACCTGATTGTGTATGACTGATTTCAAACAGTTGCTTCTTGGGTTCCGTGGCAGCCAAAACCACTGTTGACCCAATTTCCTTTTAAGGTAACTAAAAGGGTATCTTTCCGCGGTGTGGGGAATCAGGTACTGAACCGCCCACATATTTCTAATCACTCGAGAACAATTTATTCATGATCGGATTGTTTGACCACTTTTTAATATTACTTAATATCACTTCACAAGGTGCTACTTTTTTTTGTCTCTTGAAATCAGAATAGGAGTAGGGTTTGAACCAATAATCTATAGGTTAAAAGTTGAGTGCTTTAACTATTGTTAAACCATTTTTATCTACTGAAATAGTTCGAACAACATCGGTTCAATACTTTTGTATTATTTTCTAGGTCTAATCAATTAAGAAGTATCAAGAAAGTATTAGTTCATAGCTTGAAACTAGAAGAAGTTAATTGAAGTTTTAGTTTTTCAAGTAACAGATCGCAAGCTAAGATGTAGTTATTTACTTTTAAGTAACAATAATTTCGTTATCGAATTCAAGTTCTAATTTTACTTAAGTTTTTCACAACTTGTTTAATTACTATGAAAGATATCCTATGAATACACAGAAAGCGTTTAAGGGAGTGAATTTAGAATTTGGTTACACTAGTGCTGTTGAATGAATAACCAGTGAAAAATTCTGATATACTTGTAGTGTTATACACTCATCTCTATAAATGAATGAAATTTAGGATTTTTATTTATCAAGTAGGTCGGTTTGAATTTCTACCCTTGTCAAAACAAGAATATTAAAGAATACAAGTATTAATTTGTAGGTATATCCTGGAGTTCTAGTGAGAAGTAGTGACCAGTGGAGTTCAACCAGGTCTGTTGTAAGATAGTAACTCACTGAAGACAATGGTGGATATGTCACTCAATTTCGTGGATTAGTTGAAGTTAGACATTAACACCGTTGGACATCGGCCTAGTGGTTAAGTGCTCGCGCGCGAAACCAGTAGGTCCTAGGTTCGGATCTCGCAGGGGGCGAGGTCGTGGATGCACACTGCTGAGGAGTCCCGCGATAAGACGAGACGGTCGTCCAGTGCTTCATGGTTCTCCATGGTGGTCTAGCTTCAACTGATTCATGATCTTAACCATTGAGATTATTATAATATCCACAAAACCCATCTGAAAAAAATAAACGTGAAAAATTCTATCATAATTAATTTCAAAGAGCACCAAACAGTCTTCACTTATTGTTTCATAACATTTTGAGTGTTGAGGTACGGGAGACCATAATCGTTTTACATAGACAGACCATCAGTTAATAAATTCATAGACTGATCTGCTTACTTAATGCAAGTACCACTACTACTTGTTTGTAAACTGTTTACGTCATACAACAATAAAACTATTATGAAGCGAAAACTTGGAGTACTATACAACGGAACTATACATACATATTGAAGCAAAACAGTAATAAACGACTTACATTTTTTCATTCTTTAATGAACCACGTGTAGGTGAATACTTTATATTGTTTGTATTTATTTTATGTTGTTCATTATTGAGTGAAGCTTGAATAAGTGGTTTTCTAAAATTTAATGCAGGTAATCGAAATGGTAATAAGTGTGTATTGATTAATTCATCATTTGATTCGATTATTTCCTCTTCTTGTTTTTCAAAAACATGTTCATTATCATACGAATGAAGAATACTTCGTTTTGTCAAGAAATTATTTCCTGGTATATTCAGAGTTGTTAATGATTTATTCGGAACTGAATGAGAAGTGGTTGGTATAAGTTTATTGACTGATAATGTTCCAGTTGTAGGTGCTATCGAATTATTATTTACAGTGACTGTATCTGTTATGAACTGAGAATTTTTCATAGATAGAAAGATTAGAATTCATGGTAATTAATGAATATTATCCCAGTTTGGATTTAATAATACTAGTAATAAGATGGGATTTTAAAAAAAGCACCCAGTATGATGGAAGGATTGACTTATTTTTATTTCAGCCAGTGAGTCAGTTTTGTAAGCAACGTAGAATTAGGCACATATACGCATCAATTCAAGTTGTCACATCATTTCAAAATATAAAGATGAAGTATCAAGACAAATAACAGAGTAGTAGAGAAGTGGTAGTAGAGAAGATTAATTACAGACAATATGATTCCTAAAACTATAATTTTTTGGGGTAAAAAGTATGAGGATTCTAAAACTTAAAATCAAGAGGAAAAGAATGAGTGAAGGCATATACGTTACTATGATCGATTCAGAGCCGTGTTGCTCAACATCTCAAACTATTGTTGATAATTGCGTGGATTTAAGCCTGGTGGTCTACATCTACCAATCTATGTGATGAAAGCTAAGTACATGTTAACCTTACTCTATTGTAGCATACTTTGTGGATAGCAACTTAGGAGGAGAATTAGCTAATCCAGAAATACTGGTAGATGGGAGTTGATAAGCTCGCTGACTTAGACACTTAGTATTAGAATCCTGTGACTAATTTTTAAGTTACTTACCTAGTCAGTTCACTTCAAGAATAACATTTTCAAAACTATGATTGAATGGCAAAATTCCGTAGAGTTCAGACAATTCTGGAGTGGGACATGTGTCATCAATTTTTGATGATTGAGCTATATCTTGCATCAAATGACGTTAGAAACGAGAGTCATTATTTTCTAACTCAGTGATCTGAAGGTAATGCTTTTATCGTAAGATTCGAAGGTTCTAGTTTCGATTCCTGATGGTAACGTAGGGTACTGTTGTTGTGAACTCCAGTCTAGAATGACATAGTTGTTTGGGGTTACCTAGTTTTCAATAATTATTCAGATGAAGTCATTATTGTATGTAAACCATCTTCAAAATACTTTGTGTTATAAATATGACTAATTAATATATCTTAAAGTGAAGGGTAACACATTTACTTTAAACATATCAATAAAACATATTTCTAATCGATATTAATACTACTTCTAACGGTCTTGTTTCTTTCTTAGTATTGTTATCCATTAATGTTATTTAGTAGGGTGAGTTATATTACTTTATTGGTAATATTAATTAAGACATTTCATTAAGGCGAAATTCCTAGTTTAAAATATTGAGAGTCTGAAATCGGTAGCTACACGTTTGAAAGAATAGGCAGCGAAAATATCTCACAGATATGGCATGAAAGTGCAAAAAGACTGTTATTGGATGTCGTATACACTAGTTATGTCGAAGTACATTAGGTTTGTCTGGTGAACATGACTTGTGTGATAAATCAAGAGGGTTTTAAAGCCTTATGTACAAATCTTTATCACAGATTTTAAATGGACTTCATAAACTAGGTTTTATTCATTTTAAAGTTTATTAGAAATGACAGCTCAAATAAATTAAAGTCAGTACTGTGTATTCATTAGATGGCGAATAATTTCATGCTTGCAGTGAAACACACATGTTTCTAACCAGTTTTAATGTAACATGAGTTATTTATTACATCTAAAAACATCACTATAAAAATCAAGTAATCGAAAACTTAATGCGTATTCCTCTATTTGGTCACGATACCATAAGTCCAAAGTCCAAGTTGTACAGTAAGTAACTTTACAGTTCTCGGTCATTAAACATGTATCATTAAAATTACTGGATGTATTTTCGTCGGACAATTAAGGACATGTAACTGAACTTTACAATTCAATACACTGAGTGACTTAAACTCATGAAACTTAGATTTCTTAACAATAATTTAGTGCTTTATAAAACACTATTAACAGTGTAATAGAATAATAATAACAGAGACTTACATCGGTATTTTTACTTGGGACATCCTGACATCCTTTTAAGAATTCACTATTATCATGGTGAATTTGACTTTTATTTAAACCCTGGAACACTTCATTATTCTTTGAAATATTTTTCTGCTCTGAATATGTCGACAATCGTCCATTTTTACATGCGAATCTTGGAAGTCTTATTTAAAACATCAAAAGGTAAAAATCTACCAGTTTAACGGACTATAACTAATGAAAGAACAATTTTAAGTAAAATATATACAAGTGAAAAAACAAATGTGACTAGACATTTGAATTAATATCTACTCATTTAAGACACATTAGCAGTTGATTAGTGATATCATCAAATGTATATTTTCCCTATAAATCGTAAGAGGATTTCATAAGGAATCAATTGAAGTTAAAATTTAAATAAGGAGATTAAGTTTCTCAAAGTAAAAATAGGCTACTTCACCTCATATAATTTCAGTTGGAAATCTTGAAAATTACTACAATAATGTGCTTGTGTAGGTGGCCCTATAGGATAAAACCTACTTTCGTACTTTAAAATGACCAATTCAAAAATCATAAGACAAATCAGACGAGAAGAGAACATTCGTCAAATAATAGGTTGTACTTTTTAAAAACCCTTACTACAACCTGATGAAAGCTGAAAAACATTCTAAGGATTATCTATTTACACTCATAAATCAAAGCTAGATTAAAAATGAGTAGGGTTATAATGAAATGAACTTGATTAAAATGAAAGCTGCGAGTAAGCAAATACAGACAAACTTAAGTATGCTAAATTTTCGATGTCTTAGTTGACATATGTGCATCTTACCTTGATATAGCCATTGCGACACAAGTTTATATGGAATAGATGGCATGTATTCAGAAACGCAGCCGGGACGCACGTCTCATCCCGCTTGGGACTCGTTAGCTGAATGTACTTGCATACCAAAGTTGATGTCCACATATCTTTTTTTTACCTCCTGTGTGTGCGCTTACAGTGCTAAACTTTGTTGTACTTTTTCCTTCTCTCCATTAAGTAATCATCACGATTTCGACAATTGTGGCATGATGGACAACATCAATAAATAGAGATCAGTTTATAGGAACATTTCAATAGCGTGATGGTTAGAGTAACTCCGTCTGTAGCTCTTCTAGACTTACTGCCGATCCCAAGCCCGGGTAAAGGAGGAGGGTTGGGCATGGGGTTAGCGACCTCATCCCGTAGAAAACTAACTCGCTAAAAAAACGCTAACCAGAAAAAATAATTCAGTCCATTTAAACTCTGCCCTGGGAGTTAGAAGGTCTTCATTTAGAAGAACTATGACGCCTCATGGTGAAAGCCGAGTTGCTTCGGAAGCCACTAGGCGGATGCCCCTCCTAACAACCAGAGCAAAAATTTTTATAGGTACATGGAACGTTCGAACAATGTGGGAAACCGGGAAGACCAGTCAAATAGCAATGGAAATGAGGAGATACAACTTAGCAGTACTGGGAATCAGCGAAACCCATTGGACCCAAGCTGAAGAACAAAGGCTAAATACGGGAGACATGCTGCTTGACTCCGGTCACGAATAGGAAACTGCTCCACACACTCAGGGAGTCGCTCTTATGCTGTCAAAAGTAGCACGAAATGCACTTGTAGGATGGAAATCTCACGGATCCAGAATCATCAAAATATCATTCAAAACAAAGAAGGAGGGGATCACAATGAATATTATCCGATGTTATGCACCCACCAATGATAGCAACGACGATATTAAAGATCAATTCTACGAGCGGCTGCAATCAATCATAGGGAAGTGCCCAAGAAAGGACCTCACTATTCTGATGGGAGATCTAAAAGCCAAAGTTGGAATAGACAATACTGGATATGAAGATATCATGGGACGACATGAACTGGGAGAGAGAAACGAAAATGGAGAAAGATTTGCAAATCTATGTGCATTCAACAAATTGGTCATAGGTGGCATAATATTTCCACACAAACGTATACACAAAGTTACATGGATCTCACCGGGCCACACCACAGAGAACCAGATAGATCATAATTACATCAATAAAAAATTTCGAAGGACAATGGAAGGTGTGAAAACCAGAAGAGGAGCTAACATAGCTTCAGATCACCACCTAGTTGTGACCAATTAAAAACTGAAGCTAAAGAAGAACTGGACAAGTGGACAAACAGCACTACAAAGGTTCAATACAGCCTTCCTTCGAGATACTGACAAACTCAATCAATTCAAGATAGCTCTCAACAACAGGTTCCAAGCCTTACAAGATCTACTGGAAGAAGAAGAAACTACTATGGAGGACAACTGGAAAGGTACCAAAGAAGCACTACCTTCAACGTGTAAAGAGGTTTTGGGCCAAAAGGCATCATCATCATAAGGAATGGATGTCTATAGAAACACTGGACAGGACCAAAGAAAGGAAGAACAAGAATACAGCAATTAACAACAGTCAAACACGAGCAGAGAAATTCCAAGCACAAGCTGAGTACATAGAAGCAAACAAGCAAGTGAAGAAGAGCTTCAAAGTCGACAGGCAGAAATACGTAGAAGAGCTAGCAACGATGGCGGAAAAATCTGCAAGAGAAGGAAATATGAAGCAGCTTTACGATACAACGAAGAAACTGGCAGGGAAATATAGTAAACCAGAGAGACCGGTCTAAGGCAAAGAAGGCAGGCCAATCACTGAAGTTCAACAACAGCGGAACAGATGGATAGAATACTTCGAGGAACTCCTGAATAGGCCGGCTCCAATGAATCCACCGGATATCGAAGCAGCACACATAGATCTTCCTATAGATGTCAACCCACCAACGACGGAAGAAATCAGAATGGCCGTCAGACAAATCAAGAAAGGGAAAGCAGCAGGACCCGACAACATACCAGCTGAAGCACTGAAGTCAGACATCGAAGTAACTACAAACATGCTTTACCTTCTATTCAAAAAGATTTGGGAGGAGGAACAAGTGCCGATGGACTGGAAAGAAGGACACCTCGTCAAGATTCCAAAGAAAGGAGATCTGAGCAAATGCGAAAACTACAGAGGCATTACACTGCTGTCAATACCAGGGAAGGTCTTCAACAGAGTGTTGCTGAACCGGATGAAGGATACAGTAGACGCCCAAATTCGAGATCAACAAGCTGGATTCCGTAAGGATCGATCATGCACAGACCAAATTGCAACACTACGGATCATCGTCGAACAATCAGTTGAGTGGAACTCATCACTATACATCAACTTCATTGATTATGAAAAGGCATTTGACAGTGTGGACAGGAGGAAGTTATGGAAACTTCTTCGACACTACGGAGTTCCTGAGAAGATTGTCAATATTATCCGGAACTCATACGACGGACTACAGTGCAAAGTCGTGCATGGAGGACAGCTGACAGATGCATTCCAAGTAAGGACCGGAGTCAGACAAGGCTGTTTACTCTCTCCCTTCCTCTTTCTTCTGGTGGTCGACTGGATTATGAAGACCTCGACATCTGAAGGAAAACACGGAATACAATGGACAGCTCAAAATCAATTAGACGATTTGGACTTCGCAGATGACCTAGCCCTCCTATCGCATACACACGAACAGATGCAGATGAAGACAGCCAATGTATCAGCAGTCTCTGCATCAGTAGGCCTCAGTATACACAAAGGGAAAACCAAAGTCCTCAAATTCAAAGCGGAAAACAACAATCCAATCACTCTTGATGGCGAAACTCTGGAAGATGTAGAATCCTTCACATACCTGGGAAGCATCATCGATGAACAAGGAGGTTCAGATGCAGACGTAAAGGCGAGGATTGGCAAAGCAAGGACAGCATTCCTACTGTTAAAGAACATATGGAACTCAAAACAACTGTCTGTCAACCAATATCAAAGTGAGAATCTTCAATTCCAACGTCAAGGCAGTTCTACTGTATGGAGCTGAAACTTGGAGAACTACAACAATCACCATCAAGAAGGTACAAGTATTTATAAATAGTTGTCTACGCAAGATACTCAACATCCATTGGCCGGATACCATCAGCAACAGCCTTCTGTAGCAGAGAACAAACCAGCTGTAGAGGAAATTAGGAAAATACGTTGTAAGTGGATAGGACATACATTACGCAAATCATCAAACTGCATCACGAGGCAAGCCCTAACTTGGAATCCTGAAGGAAGGCGGAAAAGAGGAAGGCCTAAGAACACATTACGTCGGATAATATAAGCATATATGAAAAGGACGAATAACAACTGGAAGGAGCTGGAAAGGATTGCTCAGGACAGGGTTGGATGAAAAATGCTGGTGAGCGGCCTATGCTCCTTCACGAGGAGTAACAGACGTAAGTAAGATGGTTAGAGTGATTTTTTATAGAATTATCAAAAGTACCTGCACTTGTAAGTATCCAGATGAGATAGTCTACATATAGGTATATCTTGGTTAATAAAGAAGGTTCAAACTAATTAAATGCAAATAAAACCACCCTATGTATCCTATTTTATATATAGCCTAGGGTCCTTAATCTTGACCACCGGTACGTTCTGACGGACACTTAACCTTGAGTTAACGTAGTTATACTCCTATTAGTTCATCTATACACAAGACTATCTTTATCACCGTTAATACTGCCTCGTTTGTGTATGACTAGTTACCTATTTTTACGATGTAATATAACCCAGTTTATCGTGTACATAAGTTGTTGAGTGCTTGCGGTATATTTTAGATGGCTGAATTTGGTAGTTAAAAATATAATGATAGAATCTTATCTGGAGACTTCTTTTCAGATTCCAGGTTGAGGACAGAGGAATTATTGGGGGTAGCAGGAATGACAGAAGTATAACTACATCATTTATTATTATACATATGTGCCACACAAATCTCATTTGATTTGTGTGAGGGCTGTGATACTGCCTGGGTGCCCAAACCGAAGCAGGAAATAATTACATCAACTCAAGGTTGTGTCCGTTACAACGTACTACTGGTCAATACTAAGGACTCTAAGCCATAAGTGAAGTAGGAGATGCAGGGCAGAGATATTATAATGGAGTTTTTTGATTGTTGAATTTAGAAAGTAATATCACTCAACTTTTCAGACGTCAGTAACCGATATGAAAAAGATGAAAAGACTAGATAACATCATTCACCAAGTGGAAAAACAGTAGTTATCACTTACCGTAAAGAAACACTAAAAGAAATGTAAAAGGTTCTAAATCAATGCAATACAAGTTTATTTTTAAGCTAATGACATAATAAAACCTGTACTATGAAAAGTAGATAAGATACTAAAAGAGAAACCAGATTATTTTTGTGAAATTATTTGTTGAAGCGTTGTTTGCATTTGATTAGAATCCTAATGTATTTTTCTGTACTCCAGCAGGTGTTAACAATAAATAAATATTCAATGTTGACTTCGAATCCTACCTGGAAATGGCTTAGCCGACTTCTTATCATTGACACTTATGACTGAACGTATACCATAAATTGTTTTATTTGGTAAATCAGAAGGCTAAGAATTTTTTAACTTATTATTAATATAATCATTCAGTGGGTTATGTTCGAAACCAAAATCCTCTCCATGATGTTTTGAACTTCCACCCACGATAATGGGTTAGTGTTTCGTTAGCATTACAGTCTAAAGAAGGCAACAGACTTCGAGTAAATGCACAGAGTAAAAGCAGCTTTTCATAATAAAATTTCAGCGGCTATTAAATGTATTAATATTTAAATTAGGAAAGTATATTTAATTCGCCTACTTTCTATTTGTCTTCAGTCTTCTGAAGCTTTATCAAGTTTGTCATCCAACTTAAAAGTAACAAATACCACTCAGTATAACAATCTATTCTCAACAGTTCCTCTGGAACCGGTCATTCGATAGATCAAATAAACGTAGGGAGTATGCAGGGTATACAATCCAAACGGAATTATAAGATGATTAAATTCAGAGTCTTTTGATATGTTGAAAACAAAAAAGCCTGTCCCACTCCTGATTACACTTTTAAAGAATGAGGTGATAATTTACGAACAGATTACATGGGTCAAATTAGTAAGGAAGTGGATGAAGTAGTTAGGTAGAGCGAATATTAGTAACATTGCAGGTTGGAGAAAAGAAAGGTTATCTTCATAACCACTGCTTTTGCATATTGAAATAATTTCTAAAAAATATTAAAATTACTGCCCCAAGACCAATAAAAACGTAGAGTTGAGTAAATAAACTCCATACATCTCAGAAAACAATACAAACTAATCAATGATACCGTCTATCCCACATAAACTTGTGTCATGATGGCTGCACCGAGGTAATTAGCAATGAATGCAAGTATATAAACTAAAACTGATCAAATCTCAGCCAAAACTTTCAACCATAGGATAGTCCTAACAATTATCAATTAAGCCTGTGATGTTTTATAAGGAGTCTTGAAATATCAAGAAACAGGTGAGCGGAAGTCTGAATACATAATGTAAAGGATTAGTACTACTGTGGTTTTAAGGCGTTTAGTAAAAGACAAAAGTTTAATGAACCTCCTCACCCTCTAACAGGATTCTGGGATACTTGCAATTCCTCTAATTGTTGCATCAAACGTGCGTTCTTCCTCCGTTCATTTTCAAGATCTTCCCGCAAAATCGATATTTCTTGTTTTAGGGAGTTCTCATTGGTTTTATCTAGTTATTACATATAATTAAGATTATCCTAACTTTGTGGTAAATTATCATCAGAACAGCCAGCAGAACATGTACACATCACCAGACGATATTGCAAGTCTGAAAAAATAAAAGTATACGAAATAACCACAACCTTTATTAATTTTTTTCAAGGATTCAATCTCTTGATGCAAGCCTTTCAGCATGGCCTCATGCTGCTTTTGTAAGAAGGCTATGTTTCTACCTAGTTGGGTTTTATGACCGTTGTCATCTGGTTTAGGAGGGCTGACAACAGGTACTTCTCTTTTATTGGAAGGGATCATAATTGTCTCAACTTTTTTATCTCCAAGTACATCAGTTTTTATAGGAAAATTATTAAGAACAATCATAGTCAAGAATCCAGTCTACGAAAACGAAATTGATATTAGATATTTCATATGCATTGTATTCTCGTTTTCAGTTGAAATCCGTTAATTAAAGCCCTCTTAATTAGTGAGCCAATGCTCATAGTCGACCGAATCTACCATCCTTGAAGAATATAAACAAAAGCATGATGATGATTTTTTAGTGATCACAATGAGAACTTGATACCTTATAATTAACAGGCTCACGGACGGTAAAGTCTATGTATGTAGATAATATTTATTTTTGTTTAATATCAGTTTTCATAGATAAAGTTGGTACATCGACCGACCTTAAAGAATAGTCTTTGTTGTGCAGTCAAATTTCCTCACTTATTAGTAATGAGGATAGTGGATTACGTAACGTGGTTTTACGCTTAATATTTGTCGTCCCGTCGAGATCTAGTTTCTTTCTAAACGCACTCGCCATTGCAGTTGATGTCAATTGAATGGATATCACATTAGAGCCGCTGCCAGCTGGATGAAAAATGATTATTCCCACCCTCAACATATTTATTTGCGATTTTTGAACGCTTAATGGTAGTCGATGTGAACAATTCCGGAGGTAACGAACAAATACGACATGTTAGTAGTCAAACAGTTATTCATAATACAGAAAGCAAATATTAGGTCACCTCATAGAACTACAGTGACAGGGTAAACATATATCTTATAGTTTTGTAATGGTAAATACACCTCGTTGAATAAATGGTGTCGTAGGTCCTCGACTCTGATGCCAACCCCATTAGTTTCAGTGGACACACCCCAAGATGAAGATGCTCGGTAAGTCATCTGCACTAAATCAGGTTTGAGTAGCACATCTCTTATCACAGCTGATCAGTTAAGATTGCATAAACTCTCATACCTTAGCAACCCTTCATTCCTGACTTCTGGTTTAGATGTATTTTGTACCTTTTTGTATCCAAACGTTTCGGAAAATATCGGTGACAAACACTACATATTCATGACATCCTCAGTTTAGATCAGCCCTTATATGAAATTTTTGAAAGTCAAACTGTTCACTTGGTACCTACTCTATGGAGGTATTTTTTTACCATTTTTGTAATATTACGTCTAAGCTTTGAAGATCACTGTTCCAGGTGTATGGTCGATCATCAAAATGAATCACATTTATGTGGCAGACGTTTGCCGTAGCATCCGTTCTGGATTTTAAGAAGTGGTCCAAAGAATCATGAAAAAGGTCAGAATGAAGCTAAGCTCCCATAATGTTTACCAAAAATAACTTACGACGATTTTTCTTTTCGACAAAATACATGTAACGTGAGCGATTAGCATCAATTGGTTTGAAATAGGTTTCTGAAGCAAGAATCGAAGGTAAGAAACAAATTGTATGCCTAACTACCTAGAAATTTTAATAGGATTCATTGTAGTGCACCAACCTCCTCGAATCACCTACTAAATAAAAGGTCATATTTCGTACAGGCATTTCGACACGGATTGTCCTATATGAGTAATCAAAATATACTATGCAAATCAAAAATTGTGGGCTAAACGGGTTACGGTCCCTCTTTTTCCAATAGCAGCTGATTTCGAATTGGAGAAGATGTAGGAAAAAAGTGTAAGTATTAACATAATCAGATCTGAGTAAAGCTGTAGCATATTAAACAATTTAGCATTAGCACTATCAACATTTATGGTAGTGTAAATCACCAACGTAGATGATTTATGTCGAAATAATTGGAGGCCTACTCGAGTTAAACGTGAATAATGTGACAAACTAGCTAATGTCGAAGTCACACCTCATGGTCAGCACCTTACGTGGACTACCCCAATGACGTATCAAGGTACCATAGATGCTTTGAAGACTGTACAACACAGAGGACGTTATTACAGAAATATATTCGTTAAGGTAGATACAAGCGGAAGTAGGACCACTGCTGCATGGGCCAGTCCATGGCATACGATTGACGGATGCTCGTTGGTTATCCCTGACCTTGATAGGGAGCGATGAACGGTTCGACATTCAGTGATCCAAATGCTGGATGATTTGGCTAGGGCTCAGTGACATTTCACTGGCCCTACAGTAGTAAAGCATACTAAAATGTCACATCATTCTTATCATTAGAAAATTGGTCACAGTCGAGTCTGTTCGCTAGTCAGCAATTATTTTGTTGAATTATAGTCTTGTTCGGCATTAGTACATTCGTTTTTGATACTATGATGTCAGACCTAATCCCAAAATTTTAGATTTACATTGATGTAACTACCTAATATACAAGATCTTATGTGAAGGTCACGTCATTATTTATACTGACTCAACCTATCATGATAATAAGCAATACGACGTCTAGCCCATCTGAAGAACACAGTAGGCTTGTGGATATATATATATATATATATATATATATATATATATATGTCAAGCGAAAATTTATGACATATAAAATGATAATACCTAGAGCCGAAAGTATATAAAAACGATAAATCACTTTCACAATCAACGATGTTGGCATTCTAAAGTGGAATATCGTGGATTTACGATGAATCAGCAATCACGTTCAAGGTTCAAATAGACTGGATAGAAAAGAATAACAGGAAAACCATATAAACCATCACAGAAATATCAATAACCCGTTCAAGAAAAACGTCTAAAACGGCAGACAACCGTCAGAAGAAAATCTGAAGACCGAGAAAAACTTTTAAAGTATTAAAATTTATGTTGCTGACATCATGAAACAGGTTGAGAAAGCAGTAAAAATTTTAAAGTTAAAGTTAAAATAAAAAGAAATATCAGGACGCAAAGCAAGACGACGGTGAATACCACGTTGTAGATATTACAAGCGACAAGGAATGGGATGGCTTACGAGTGTATAAATGAGTATGTGTGTTAGTGCCGGTGTTTTGCGTGTGTGCGAGTGTATGTGTGATGAGAGAGTGTTTTGTTGATGTCGTGGTGATGAACGTGTGAGTTGATTGTGTGAAGGCGCGAATCGTGTCAGGATGGCCGAGTGGTTAAGGCGTTGGACTTGAAATCCAATGGGGTTTCCCCGCGCAGGTTCGAACCCTGCTCCTGACGTATCGGGCTTTTGTCCGACTCTCCACTCCACCGTCTGAGACACCCACACTAATTGAGTCTACCACTCCGTCTGACACACTCTCACCGAACTCACACACACACACACATACAAACTGTGTGCATCCTCACCACTCAATGTTCCCCTCACGACCACCATCGACTCTCAGTCGACGGACAACCACTCGTCCAAATACAACGACATCCGTCACCCCAACTACGAACATTCACTGTTCGTCGCTATCTCTTTCACTTGCTCAAGTGACACTGCTTCACTGATAACCGATCGAATTGGTGCACACTAACTGTACTCTATCGATCACTGAAAACACTGCTACACATGAAAACAACATACCCTCAACTGCACACAGATGCATGTCACCAGACACTGGCTCAGTGACCAGACCCGATGCAATCAGTAACTCGAGCATGTCAGCTAACTCGTCATAGGTGTGTTCACAGCGACGTCCCCATCACCACTGTACACCCGAACAACAATATCGCCTTGTTCGTCTGCATCTCATCAAACATGTATGCGTGTCAACGACCAGACTGATATGCACAAGCGAGTTTGTGAATATAAATTGTGCGTGATGGAGCAGACCTACAAAATCTTCGTGTGAATTCATGTGGTAGTGATGGCGATGTCCGTGAGATGCAGATTGTGGAGAGGGACGAGGAAATGTTGAAGGTCTGAAGCGAATAGCAATGTGTAATCACCAGACATGCTGAACCACAGTCGTCCCATTCAACCTCCATCATGAGAATGTGTTCAGTTGAGTCGGCGAACAGAGTCAACAGGAACAGACATTCCATCCACATTCAGATTCAACATGACAACACCAGACGTGACTGACCAAAGGCTGATGATCGTGTCAATCATACAGTCATCGACAGTCCGTTCGCACTGACCAACTTCACCTTCATCTCCGTCCCACTCCACATCTATATCTGCCTCTCATTTCTCTATTCCATTTCTTCGCTTTCTCTCTCTCCCTCTCTCTCTCTTACTCATTCAATGTAGACAGATCGATCACCAGCTTGCTGTATTGCGCGCTGTGCATCTGCATCGCTTTGTTCCTGTACATTGCACACTCCGCATACTGTCTGTCCCGATACGAGACATGTGACGTCCGACCGACCAGAACTCTCATGTTTCGATCAATGACGTGTTGATTGGGACTTCTCCAGATTTTCACCCCATTCTCCAACTGAGCATTAGTCACTGGTGTGAATATCACGGACGAAAGGAGTGGTGTGAGTCGACAGGTCATCCACAATGTAGCGAGGTGGCAACTGGCCACAACGACCGGGAAACAGTGATTGTGTGAGGAGATATTTTGTAGTACAAGTAGTAGTAGTAGTAGTAGTAGTGGTGGTGGTGGTGGTGGTGGTGGTGTTGGTGGTGATTGTTGTAGTTGTAGTTGTTGCTCCTGCTATTGCTGCTACTACTACTATTCTTGATGATGATGATGATGATGATGATGACCACGACGACGTTTTGTTGTTGTTATTGTGATCCCTGTCGATGTCGGTGTTGGTGTTGGTGTTGGTGTCGGTGTCGGGGATGTGATTGACTGGAATCGATTACGAGTGTATAAATGAGTATGTGTGTTAGTGCCGGTGTTTTGCGTGTGTGCGAGTGTATGTGTGATGAGAGAGTGTTTTGTTGATGTCGTGGTGATGAACGTGTGAGTTGATTGTGTGAAGGCGCGAATCGTGTCAGGATGGCCGAGTGGTTAAGGCGTTGGACTTGAAATCCAATGGGGTTTCCCCGCGCAGGTTCGAACCCTGCTCCTGACGTATCGGGCTTTTGTCCGACTCTCCACTCCACCGTCTGAGACACCCACACTAATTGAGTCTACCACTCCGTCTGACACACTCTCACCGAACTCACACACACACACACATACAAACTGTGTGCATCCTCACCACTCAATGTTCCCCTCACGAC